AGACGCGAGCAGCAATGGCATATTATTCTGTTTCTTTGTGTCACTAACGGTACATGTAGATGTAGTCAGTGCATGAACTAGACTAGAATGCATGCTGAACTTTTATTTTGATTATTATTAGGTTTGGTAACATCGATCCTCCTTCCATCCGTGTAACACCTCAAAACTCCGACGACGACATCGCCGACCGCCTCCACCACAGATGGACGGTTATGTTGCTGGCCCTGCTGGCCTTGCTGGTGACGTATCAGGAATATGTTGGCGACCCCATCCATTGTTGGTGCCCGGCTCAGTTCACCGATTCTCACTGTAACTACACCGAGTCTCTTTGCTGGATCCAGGAGAACTACTTCGTCCCCATTGATGAAAGTCTCCCGACAGACGAGGGCAATAAGAATGCTAAAGTCAAGTACTACCCATGGGTGCCCACGATTCTCCTCTTTCTGGCACTTTGCTACAAAGGTCCAAATATCATCTGGACAATGATGAAGACGGCAAGTGGGGCTAACTTGTATAAGATGATCTGTCGTTGCAATGATTGCCAGATTGGTGACCAAAGGGAAGTCGCTATAGAAGAAGTGGGAGACTTCTTACATCGTTGGTTGACGACATCTAAAAGAGCAACTTACGGAACTGTTCATACTATCATTGAAAAGATCTCTGCTTGCTTCTGTTTCTGTCTTGGGAAACGGACTGGAACGTACTTAGCAGGCCTGTATCTGGGAGTAAAGATCTGTTACTTGGCAGTGTCAGTTAGTATGATACTTCTGTTGAACAAATTCCTTGCCATCAAATATACGTTTTACGGATATGAAGTTTTAGAAAGCCTAGTTGCTAACAGAGAACTACCTGAATCGCCGAGATTTCCTACCGTGATATTGTGCGAGTTTGATATTCGTCAACTACAAAATATTCAACGGTTCACCGTTCAGTGTGTGTTGTCAGTGAACTTGTACAATGATAAAATATTTGCCTTTTTGTGGTTCTGGTTTGTGATAATGATGATGTCTGGCCTCTACAGCTACATCATGTGGATGAAGAAAATACTCATCCCGTCAATCAGGCGTGACTTTGTGAATAAATACCTTGGTTACATTGATAAAGAGCTTCTGAAGAAAAAGAATTCGAAGGTCGTGGCAAAGTTTACTCGTGATTATCTCTCAACGGACGGTGTATTTGCTCTCAGAATGATTGAGTATAATACAAGTGAAATGGTGGTTATGGAACTCATGAGACTTCTTTGGGACAAATCACAGATTTCACTTAAGGCCTAGAAATAAGCGTCTGACAGAAACGGTTGACAAAAGATATGGATATATGGAGCCATTGTTCCAACTTTACCTTTTATTTGGAACATTACATTATGATGGAAATACCTGGTTACCGAAATTTGCGCAACAAGGAACCATGGTAAAACTTCCCCATAGACCTGCCAGACCGATCAGTACCGCACAGAGACCCGTTCATGCTAGAATCAGTTTATTATTATTTAAATAAATAATTCTCAACAGTACATTACAGATGAGGGCCGGTCGGATAGCTTTGTGGTTAAAGCATTCGTCCGTCACGCCGAAGACCCGGGTTCAATTACCAACATGGGTAGAATGTTTACAGCCCATTGCTGGTGTCCCCCGACGTGATATTGCTGGACTATTGCTAAAAGAAGCGTAAAACTAAATTCACTCACTCATCATAGATGTGATATTATAATAAGTTCAGTTCATTATACATGACATGTTATATAAAGAACATGTCATGAATAATGTTCATATTACCAATTGTGGTTTATAGCGTCACTTTAATGTGAATTAGTTTATGTTACGTTTATGTTGTATTCAGATTTTCCTTATTTTTGTTTTATTTATATTTTGTTTACGTAGCAGCCTATTTTGGTAAATTAGTTTCTTCCAACGTTGTATTTCCATTCCCAATAGTAGTTTTACAATCAACATTCCACGTATTTCCCATGTTCATATGTAACACTAGCTGCCTACGTCATTGCCATCTATGTTAGGATCCCATGCATCAAGTATCTTAACGTTGCCATAAACAGGGAATAAAGACTGGACAATAGCAAATTTACGTCCTTGCAAATTTGATACGTATCAATCAAATAGCACACTGATTATCTCCAGTTTAATGATAGGCCATCAATCCATAATTAACTAAGATCTGAGTTACCTAAAGAATAAGATACTATGACATACGACATTAATGAGGTATATGCTTAAAGTGGGAACCAAAACATTCCTCAGTTCCTATTCATGTCGAAACTGATAAATCGTAACACGGTGGGCACCGCCTGTCAGCGTAAAACGTGTCAATCCAAAACTGCGCGCAGCCATAACGTATCTATTTAGAATTTTCACATTACCTTTTCTTGAAATGTTGACGATGACCCAGTAGGTTGAAGTCTATAACAAGAGGTCTCTCTGTATTTTATGCTACACCCCACCCCCACACCCCATCACCCCACACCCCACACCCCATCGAAATATAAATCATGTAATCAACTGAAATGATTGAAATCAAATGGTCGTCACATGATCCGACATGATCTCTACAGCGTACTGTGATACTCTACAGATTTGTATGAAAAGTTATTTGAATTTTGGTTTGTTGTTGATTTAAAGCTGTGATACCATATCCGTCTATTGGATATTGGATATTTGAGGTGCGGCATTTTACGACTTTTGTGGAGTTACGCCCCTTGGGTATATCAGGAACCTATGATCGTGGGTCAAGGTCCCAGATTCGCACTGATATATTGCTTGGTATGCCGGCATGTTACTCAAGCATTTCCAAAGCATTAAGTAGGCCTGACTCATTTGGCGTGGTATAAATCACTGCATAAATAATACCGTTCAAAGTAACGTTAACACTAATTTTCTTATGTACATTCCATTACGTCACGCGTTAGAATTTCTTTTTTTTAGAAAGTACTGATAAATTGTGGTCCCTATATGATACTTGTTTTAGTTTTGGATATATTTACGTTTGTTTCATGGATCATTTTTGTGAATTATATTCATGAGTTACTGTTCATGGTTTATATTTTTATGAATAAACTTTAAGACAATTATTCGTTCATTTTGTCTGATATAAGGGAACCTCGGTACTCCAGACACCGTTTTACTAACCACACACACATAACCGAGGACATCCACTTCAGACGGGTCCGTCTCCGGGTTATGTTTCTGCATGTTTCATAAATAATAATTTGAACCTCGTGAAATCGAATTTAAAACAGATTATATATAAAACGGTACGATGAAATTACGATGCACATAAAATACGATTTTGCGTTGTGTTGAAACTTAAAACGTTAACACTAGAAAATAACCAGATTGGAGTGTCTATCATTGGTTGTAAACAACAATTTAAGAAATGAAAGGAGACAATTAAATGAACCCGTAAAGACTTGGTTGACACATGTCATCGTATCCCAATTGCATAGATCGATGCTCAAGATATTGATCACTAGATTATCTGGTCGATTCACTCGATTATTACAGACCGCCGCCATATAGCTGGAATGTTGCTGATTGCGGCGTAAAACAACAAACAAACAAAACAAACAATTATACAGATCGTTCACTGAAAATCACTGATAATATCAGGTGTTCGAGAAATAGGTGGACATGTAACTCCTCATCATATTTACACAATTTGAATACAATGCAAACATACTAGTGATGGTTTGTTTGCTTTCTTACGTCACCCAGCATTTCTCACAATGTGTATGTACACAAACTTGGCCATGACATACATGTGTCCTATGCGCTTCCCGCGAAGTCGATCAAATTCCTTAAGAATAAATCTATTTATTACGCATAACAATCAATATTGTAAGTCTTATATAATCTTTATTAATAGATACAAAGAGAGTCACCAAGTATAAATAAACAAACAGTTTGGCCCTAGAAGGTCCTGCAAGTATGCATTGCGCTACTGAACTGGCCTTTCTTCGCGGACATTTCCACGTGAATAGTGTCCACGTGTCAAATTCTGTTTACAACATAATCCTTTCGTAAACAACTTTTTCCAGTTGTGGGTATAGAAATACAGCAGATATTAAAAATACAGGGTATTCATTGCATTGTGTCGTATTAATACTGAATGGACTTTTTTGCAATTTATTGTTCTCATTTAGAGACAAACGGATTATATGTGTATATCGTATACAAGTGTCATTGTACGTTCATGAAAGCTTTATTTGAACAAATTTTATGAGTGAGTATTCTCGTAGCTTCAAGGTATGGAACAACTGCAAAAAATACAACATTAACATATCTGCGTATATGTATATGTGTATGTGTACAATGACAACATAACACTTTATGATACAATTGCTATGATTTATTTTTGTGAGCGACTAAATATCCTTGTCACTACCAAACAATGGTGACACCAGGTGTTTGAGTGTTGTGTCTTGGCAACCATCACAGACACTTGCAAAGGCAAGTCAAATATACACCTGAAACAATGGTAAATGTGGTACATAATTAGGAATTGAATCATCTTTGTCGATGTGTCAAGTTTGAAAATGTCTTCTAAGCGCCCAACAAATTAAACAGTGTGGAAACTAAGCTCCTAGGCTTCGTGTTTCGTAAAGCTGAGCAAAAGCATTTTTAGACAAAGCCACGTGGATCTCTTTAAAATTTTCGTAAACCCCCAATAGCTAACTCTGTATGTGTAAATGTATACTTTGTTTCAACATTTAACCATGATGTTTCAGCCAGTTCTTGAAATAAACTGTGGCATTGCTAGCCTAGATGTGAAGTAGTCTTTGTATAACCATTTACATGTAAAGTCCCCATAAGCCTCTATACATTTATACTTATGCGGACTTCCAATATAGGAGGGGCGGTGGGGTAGCCTGTAGTTCGATTCCCCGCATGGGAACAATGTGTGAAGCTCCTGCCGTGATATTGCTGAAAGCAGCGTAAAACTAAACTCACTCCAATGGGAGATATATTGTAATATTTCTTTCTTTCCAGGTATGTGGTTGGAGCTGACCTTCCGTTACGGCTATTCCCTCCACATTCCGATGACGACATCTCCGACCGCCTTCACCACAGATGGACGGTACTGATGCTTGCCATCATGGCTATAGTGGTTGGCGTGACCGAGTACGTGGGAGACCCGATCCATTGTTGGTGTCCTGCAGAGTTCACTGACTCCCACTGTAACTACACCGAAGCCATCTGCTGGATCAAAGACACCTACTACATCCCCCAGACTGACTACGTACCCACCGACATACACCGACGGGAGGAGAAAGAAATCAAATATTATCAATGGGTTCCGATAATCCTGCTCTTCTTGGCTCTGTGTTTCAAAGCGCCTAACCTCTTCTGGAAGATGCTGAACACGAAGAGTGGTGTGAATCTTGAGAAGATGATCGCGCTCTGTGATGACTGCCAATTTGGATCCGAACGTGAGCATCACATTGAAATAGTAGGACATGTCATAGATCGCTGGCTCAGAGCATCAAAACGGGCAACGTTTGGTATCCTCCACGTCATCATTGAAAAACTCTCTGCATGCTGCTGCTTTTGTCTTGGAAGAAGAACTGGAACCTACTTAGCTGGTCTCTACCTTGGCATCAAGATCCTCTACATGTTTGTTTCCGTTGGCATGCTGTTCCTGCTGAATAAATTCCTTGCGATGGACTATTGGGTATATGGAGCGGAGGTGATCGAACACCTGTTGACGAACAGCGAATTGAGGGAATCGCCAAGATTCCCAAGGGTAACATTATGTGACTTCGAAATTCGTCAAATGCAAAACATTCAACGCTATACGGTACAATGCGTGCTGTCCATCAATTTGTTCAACGAAAAGATCTTCGCCTTTCTCTGGTTCTGGTTCGTAATCATGATATTCTTCGGGGTCTACAGCTACATCATGTGGCTCAAAAACGTCATCATCCCATCCAAGCGGATCTCATATGTACACAAATACCTATGCAGTATTGATCGTAAGTTGCAGAAGTCTCACGCTGAGGGTAAGTTCACGCGAGATTACCTTGCTACGGACGGGGTGTTTGCTCTGAGAATGTTGGAATACAACACGAATGAGATGGTAGTGTTGGACGTCATGAAGTTCCTGTGGGGAAAATTCGGAGAAAGTGTCGTCGTCTAATTGGTCACATGGAACTGGAATGGAAATCTTTCACCGGTGCTAATAAACTGTTCCCATGAAGTATTTTTGAATCATATATTGATTGAAATCATTGGATCATGGCATTTATACATTATATCGGTACATTCAGCTGGCACACCAGACATGATTTTACCCGTCCTCTAAGTCATCTACATCAATAAGTCGTGTATCAGATATTACGTCTTCTGTTCATCCAACTTTCTAGAGGGACGCCTACATACATGCAAAGAACTCATGCATTCCGTAACACATTCGATATATAGAAATCTAAATCTCTACACTTTTCACTATTCTTTTATCTGGAAAATAAATTGAATGTGATTCAAAAATTAAATCATATCATGACAGTGCAACGTCTTTATTGTACATTCTCTCTGTGACAATATTGCACATATACAGTCAATGTATCGTACTTTCATAAATATTAGTAATTGTTTTCTGTTACAGTTATGTTTTGTTAACATCTTTGTAATTATGTATACCTTCATTCTCAAACCTATAAAATTGCACAAATTATAGCACAAATATATAACGCTCAAATTGTCAGTGGAATAATTATTTTTCATATTTATTTGACAAACACTTCGGCGTGTACGTTTGCGTGTACATAAAATATCATATAACATGTGGGGCGGTAGGGAGGTGGGGTAGATGGTTAAAGCGTTGAAGACCCGTGTTCGATTCCCCACTTGGGTACAATGTGTAATGCCCATTTCGGGTGTGTCCAGCTGTGATATTGCTGGAATATTGCTAAAAGCGCCGTAAAACCAAACTCACTCACTCATAAAACATCTTTGTCAGGGATCCAGAAGAACACTATAGAAGACTATCAATGCCACCCTGAGGATTACCAAAGACGTTGGACAGTAACCGAAACGGTTGTAAGAACTGCTGTCTTTTGGCAGCATGAACTCTTAAAAGTTTTTTCTTTGCCATGGGTTTTTCATTTACTGTCAGAACTGCATTATTATGACATTTATTCAAGAATTGATAGTTTTTCCCTGGTTGTGTTGCATTTTTAACAGTTTTTACCCCACTATATTTTGCTGTGGTAATTTTATAGTTCCATGTTTTTATGTTGTGATAGTGATGTTAACTGGTTGTGTGTTATTTACGTATTTTGATTCAACCCATTTTACTGTACATTAAGTTTTTCACCATGCCCCACTTTACGGGAAATATTCCAAATATTACGTCAAGTGCAACTGTACTTTACCCAAATTATAAAAAACAAAGGGCAGCGCTTACAAGGCAGCATTGAGCTCGAGGGACAGAAGGAAGTTATATTTTCGGGTAGAACGACTGGGGAAGAAATATACATATTAATGGTGCGGACTTCAAAGGAAATGTGTTGCACGTGTTATGCAACAATATTTGGGTTTTCATAGCATCTCTATTCCTGTTTCTAATTTGGACTTACTGGGAGGTATATAATCGCAGAGAGACACGTTTTCATCATATTTTTTGTTTATTTATAGCAATTATTCATGATTGTTGGGGTTTTTTTGCTTTATTTTTGGGGAAGGTATCTTTCAATGCTGGCATAGGTTGAACAAAACTCCAACCCCGCAGAAAAAAAGGTTTGAAGATAGTATCCTTATTTATGAGTGACGGGATTTTTATTTATCATATGATATATATTGTTTGCTCGTGTAATCGTGTCTTTTGCTATTATAGAAAATAATACAAGCATTATGATATATAATATATATGTTTACCTACATCTGTCTATTTTCATATTTATATCAGTCAGTGCTAATTTATCAACAAAACAATGAATAAATCGGTTTATATACGAATGTGTTTTATCTTTATTTGTATTTCCAATGGCACTTCACCGGTTAATGACTGGATAGGTAAATATCGTTAAGCACCCTCTCATGAGACCCGTGAAGATCCGGGTTGGAACTGGTCTTCAGCAACCCATGCTTGTCGTGACTAACGGGATCTAGGGGTCAGGCTCGCTGACTTGGTTGACACAATAACATCGTATCCCAGTTGCGTAGATCGATGCTCATACTGTTGATCACTGGATTGTATGGTCCAGACTCGGTTATTTATGACCGTCGCCATATAGCTTGAATATTACCTAGTGCGGCGTTAAACAACAAACTGTCATGAAACATCATGATTACTCTTACTTTGTAGTAGCATGAGTCATGTACGGGTAACGGAAACCAAGCTATGTTTATCACTATGTTTAACGACATTGGGGTGTATATAATCTCGTTTACTCACGTCATTTATAGCCAGTACATTGTGCAGACACTCTGAAAGAGAAAAAAATGAATCACGCTCATGAACCAGATCGTATGAATCTCTCCTGGGAAATGTTGTGTTCCTTGAGAATGAGACTACACATTGTGTACACGTAATAATAATCTACTAAACCTTTATTTGACTGCACTGAACGCTACTTAAAATTATGGACACTCTTGGTTTGGACAGGAGCCAGACTAGTTGTACCAAGTGACTTCATCGATCACCTACGCGTGATTACGCTCGAAGACAAAGATGAGAGTGTTGCATTCTGCTCTTACTCTCAATGTCAGTCACTTGATTAAATACACACAGGAATCTGCCATACAGCTTGATTATTCCTATTTTGCTTATTTTACGTCAAATATGTTTGGTGGAAAGGTTCCAACTGTTTCCTTACCCGTATGTCAGTGTATTTAAAAAGTAAACACATGTATTAAAATTTCAGTCACGTTAAGAACAGCATCTGGTCTACTAAAATGAGTTAAAAATCAGTTCAAGTAGTCTTAAAACCAGTCTTAACTATCTCAGAAACAAATTCCATTTGGCGTAAAAGGAAAACAAAGCTGTGAAAACTATTTGAATGGATCCCTGAACATCAGAGTTGGCATCAGGTGTTGACACCGGGTGTTCGCGAAAAGGGAAACTACCAACCGTTCTCAAAATGTTCCGAAAAATATCATGTTTATGCATGTGTGAGTGAGTGAGTTTAGATTTACGCCGCGCTCAGCAATATTCCAGCTGTATGGTGGCGGGCTGTAAATAATCGAGTCTGGACCAGACAATCCTGTCTGAGCATGAGCATGGATCTGCGCAATTGGGAACCGATGACATGTGTCAACCAAGTCGGCGAGCCTGACCACCCGATCCCGTCCGCGGACGAGGAGTACAGGGTTATACAACGTCGGCAGACGCTTGCTATTAATGATACCGTTGTTTTTGTTATTGTACATTCATATGAGACTTTAATTAAGAAGGGTTATGAGGCCTTTTATTAACGGGGTTGGCGGGGTAACCTAGCGTTTAAGCGTTCGCTCGTCACGCTGGGTTCGATTCCCCACATGGGTACAATGTGTAAAGCCCATTTCTGATGTCCCTCGCCGTGATATTGCTTGAAGATTGCTAAAAGCGGCGTAAAACTAAACTCACTCATTCGATCATTTGATCAACAATAACGACTATGCTAACAACTCACCCACAAATGACCACTTTCGTAAGTGTCAAGAGAATTTTAGATCAGATCTTAATAGGCAGACCTATTGTAGCAAGGCATTTTTGGCAAAGTAACCCACCTTATAGTTTGAGGAGTCATTTAACATAGAACGTTTATGCAAAAGAATACCCAGTCGTGACGATCTCAGGACTAAAATGTTTATGGAGTAAGGGGTAAAAATAGTTGTGAAAACTAAATGAATGGATCACTTTCCCCACAGGAGCTTTGCCCACGAGGACCTTTCACCACACGAGCAAGTAACTCCCCACTGCCCACACGTACCTGATTCGGAGTTGAGCAGCAGACATGCGTATGAGGAAGTATTGCATAATCATATCTTATCATGATCCACACGTAAATACACCTACAGAAGCGTGCTTCCTCGAATTCAGCCAATACAACTTGCTGAACTGTCACTTAATACCTTCTCGCTTACACCTTACATTATTCCCATTGCTGTTGTCATGTAAGTACACATTTCATTCCTTTGCTCCGCCGTATATCTTTAAATGAACAGTGACTTAAAAATGTACAGTTATATGAACATGGTGTAAACGTATTGATTTTCCTCGCCAAATTGGGAAATGGTATTTTCTAAATATATCAAAATTTCAATAATTGTGTAGGATAAAGTTATCTATGAATTCTTTTCCCCTTGCATAACTTTGATAAGTGGTCACCGCTCACTTTCGTGGAATATGCAATATGCATCAATGCCAAATTCGTTAGGGGCATTTTCATTTAATTGTCGTGGTTCACTGGTCGACCTATTGCTGAAACAGTTTTATCGGAATTCTTTTCTTCCTTCTTTGCGTCGTTTTTAAGCCGACAAGCATTTATGGATATTGGACATGCAATAATGTCCAAGTTAAGTGATTTCAATCTGTAACAGTAGAAATTTAATATAAATTCTCTTATAGCCTTGTGAAACTTTATATCCATTGTGACCCGTGAAGGTCCGGGTTAGAATTGATCTTCAGCAACTCATACTTGTCGTAAGAGGCGACTAACAGGATCGGGTGGTCAGGCTCGCTGACTTGGTAGACACGTGTAATCGTATACCAATTGCGTAGCTCGATGCTCATGATGTTGAACACTGGATTGTCTGGTCCAAGCTCGATTATTTACAGACCGCTGCCATATAACTGGAATATTGCTGAGTGCGGCGTAAAACTCACTCACCCACTCACTCATATCCATTGTGTGTGTATAAAATGATGTTTCATTTTAGGAACGTGCGGGGCATCAACACTGTATTCGCGTCGGTTATGTTTGCATTCACCTTGCATGCATGTGTCAGAACACTCTGGCACCGTCTTCACTGTCAGTGTCCATCTGAATTCAGCGATGAGCAGTGCCTCTTCATGAAACACAGCTGCAACATGCATGGAACATTGGTCAGTGTGAACACATCTCTCTTGCATGGACATTTACTGGACAGCAAACAGAGAGCACAATATGTAACCGATAATAAAATAGACCTTCAGATGTTCACACTGTACTCAGTACTTAGTGTGTTGATTACTAGTACTTTCTGCATGGGGTACAGAGCTTCATTGCGTCATCCAACACGTATTACACTAGTGATGTCTGCGTTGTGTCTAGCAATCCTGATACTCCTACTAGGCTTCCAACCAATTATGGCATCACTGAATCCGTTTACGATCCCTGAATGGAAGTCCTTTCCCAACATGGTACTATGTCCATTCAATCATCCTGAACAGCACCAGACTCAGCTTGTCCTGTGTGTGATACCAGCTAGTGATGTCATACAAACAGCAACGCCTGTTGTTATTGTCATGTTAATTACCATCATGGTCTTGGACTGGAAACACATGTACTCCAGGCTTGTTAACCAACACACCGAATAAACGATTTACCTTTTACTGGTGCTATTGTGAGTGCATATGCATGAACAATATGTAAAAATAAGCCCCAAATCCGCAAATAGCAAAAGGCACCACCTCAGTATCTGTTTAATATATCTGCCAAGTTTTGTTGATAGATATTGAACGGTTTGTGTGTTTTGCTCCGGAAACGAAATCCACCACTTTTTGAGACTAAGTCCAAATTGTTTCCATGGAAATAAATACCAAAAATCTGTAAATAGCAAAAGGCACAACTTTAGGTTCTGTTAAATATATCTACCATTT